GAGGGGGATCTGGCTCACTCTCGGGTTGTAGTGAGAGCATCTGAAGAGCAGAGACTGCATCTTTTGGAGCAGGAAGACCTCAGCCATTATTTACTATTATTTGTATAAGTGCTTTCCTTGCGAGGACTGCCTGAACCCCAGAGAAGGAACAGCCATCCCAGGGAGGCCAGCGAGACCTCTGACCCTACGTAGTGAAGCAGAGAGGACCTCATCTTGCTGCAGTCCTCATCCTGCTGCTCCAGCAACTCTGGAACTGCAGCCATAGCCACACAGGCCTGGAGCAGAGGCTGTCACTGGAACACCAGCACTACAAGGGGATTTGAGATCTGATCCCTCTCCCACCTTGGGCACAAATTGAAGGTGGGGTTTAAATGAGTCCACCAGACCTAAGATAAATGATAATTAGGTATGTATTAGGGAAACACACAAATAATAATAAATAACTGCTGTGGTCTTTCTGCTCCAAAGGATGCAGTCTCTGCCCTTCAGATGCTCTCACCACAATCCAAGAGAGTGAGCTAGACCCTTCTCTACCTGATAAGGGATCACGTCTGAACACCTGAAGCCATGCCCCTAGGGTGTGGACAGTGCTGCAAGTTCACTGGCGAAGCAAGATGACACTACAGATGCCAACTCTTGATTTTCCCCACACAGCCTTTACACTTGATGCTGTTAGCTTTGACTTACATTTGCATCTGAAATTGTGTATTTTCTCACAGACTATCAGAAGCGCATAACTTTATTAAGCACTTTCCAAGTGTCAGTGTGTGCCAGTTAATTCAGATGGCCATAGAGGCAGCCTTCCCATCCTCCAGGACTGAATCAGCAGGAGAGCTCCCACCTCCCCAGGGCCAAACGAATCTCCAGCCAAGTTACTTTGCAAATAGGGCTCGGAAGCGTAGGCTATACCCTTCCGTTTCCTTCCCTTCCCTTCTGGCGATTTAGATGTGGATTCTCTAATAACGGCTGTTTTTTGCTTTCTTCCAACATAATATGTACTTGTTACATGAAGTTCAAATTCTACAGATTTATGTAACACAAAAAGTGGAACTTTCCAGAGAAAGGCTCTCTTGACAGTTTGGTGAACTGTGCTATGTGTCTTGGAGATTCTCCACCCCCTCCTTTTGAATATGTCTCTGTCTCATTTCCAGCAATCATGTAGATCCAAGGCGTTCTATTGCACCAGAGGTTAATTAGTGTTCTCTACTCTTAGTGTTGGCATCCACAAAGTATGTCCTAAGTTGATGACATGAATGCAAATGAGCTACCAAAAAAGTGGTGGGACCCCCAGGGGATGATTAGGTGATTGGGCTCCAGTGACCACTCTCACACATGCCACTGAATACAGACATTGAGGCCTTAACTTTTAGGGTAATTTTATCAGGGTGTGGAACTGTGGGGAGGTGGTTAAGTCATAAAGACAGAACACTCACATGTGTGTTCTGTGGCTTAATGAAGACGGCCTCAGAAAGCTGACTTGTCCCTCCCAGTGTGTGTGAGTACACAGCAAGATGCCATCTCTGAAGAGGACCCTCCCCAAAGGCAAAGCTTGCTGTACCTTGATCTTGTGCTGCCCAGTCTTCAGAACCACTAGAAATAAATTTCTGTTGTTTACAAGCCACCAGGTGGTGGCATTTTCCCACAGCAACCCAAACAAACTAAGATATAATAATGCAAACCAAGTGCATCATTATGTAAGCAAATGGGGTTGGCCATGTTTCAATAAAACTTTATTTACAAAAACAGGTGAAGAGCCGTATTTGTCTTGGAAGCTTTATGTTGTCAGTTCCTGCTATATGAAACATCCTTGTGTGTATTTATCTGTGTCTGTCTCTGTAAGTGGTGCTGTGGGACTCATTCTTGGAGCAGATGTGCTGGGTCACAAGTTGCTTTTTATTTTGAACCAACTCCAAAAGTTGAACCAACTCAGTCTTCATTACATTAGAGTATTTAATTTTTTTCCTTTCTTCTCAGTCTCTCAATTTCTCTCTCTGTATCTCCCCTCTCTGTGTCTCTGTCTCTATGTGTGTGTCTATCTCTCTGTGTCTCTGTCTTTGTCTCTGTGTACGTATTTGCACATATTCATTTGTATGTGTGTATTGTACATATGCATGTGAAGGCCAGAAGTCAAGGTTGGATGTCTTCCTCAATCTCTCTCTCTCTCTCTCTCTCTCTCTCTCTCTCTCTCTCTCTCTTTCTCTCTCTGAACCTGGAGCTCACCAATTAGGCTAGGCCAGAACCAGTGAATGCACAGGATCTGTTTATGTGGGTGCTGTGGGTCTAAACTCTGGTCCTCATGTTTACACAGGTAAACACTTTACCTAATGAGTCTTCTTCCCAACCCTTCTCCTTAAAACTGCTTTCTCAAGGATATAAAACCTGTGCCCATTTGTGGGATACTGCTGTATGTGGCCATTTTTTCATTGAAGTTCTTCAGATGGGAGCTCAGTCTACTCTCAAGTCTGGCTTGAGACAGCATTTCTCCTGCTTCACCCTCTCATATGCTGAGATTGTAGGCATGAACCACAGGACTGTTTCATTATTTTTAAGCTTTGCAGAAGCAGAGAATGTCAGAAAAGAGCCTGGGATGGTGTCCTGATAAAATCTTGTTCTAGACTGAGGTTCACAGGGGCAGGAACTCTGGCAACCTGTTCTTGACTGGTAAGATAAAACTGTGTTCCTTACGAAAAATGGTTCAGAAAGGTCTTAGTTAACTACTCAAAAAACTTTTTTTGCAGTATATCACCTTAGCAATTTCTTTACTAAGCCAAGATTCCATCATCACGGTTGCCCTTCTGTCATAATGGATTTTCATGTAATGCAGTCCATCTATGCACACCAAGCTCATTATCAATTGTACAAAAAATATACATGCTCCAATTTCCCCTACAGAGCTGACAAGCACCAGACATCCTTGAGCAAGCATCATGTTTCTCCTACCCTGTTCAATGGGTATTTTGGTTTTCAGATGCTAGATGGTGTTCTTGGTTTTTCATTTCCACTTTTCTCTCCCTACCCCCATTTCTATCATTTGGAATGTGAACCCCACAAGGAAGGATAGAAGCTCACTACTAGCATTCAAGCTCTGTTTGGGGCTGTGGATTTGAGCTGTTTTGTTTGATAATCAGCACCCCTCCTGAGATCTAACCTCCCTTTACTTGGCTCATGCTGGGTGAATCTGTGATATTTCCCATTCTGTGGCCTTTCATTTATAACACAGGCACAGCCTGCTTCCCCATTAGTGCAATGGTATGCTTGAACTACCCACACACAGATAAAGAATGAGGCTGAACTTGGCTTGGAAGATAAATCAACCCAACCATCTCATTAGGTTTGAAAGACACTAATTAAGCTTGCATTGGAATTAACAGAGAATCCTTCTGAGAGACAGAAGGTGTGACAAGGGGTGGAATAAACTACTCTGGCCATTTCTCTCAGTGAACTTGCCTCCACTGTAAGAAACAGAGGAAGTGTATAGTCTCTTTTTCATGAAGTCAATGGACAGAAATTTAAGATCCAAAATATGATAAATCATTTGCCATGTATTAGGCACTGTGTGCTGAGAGCTCTACACACATTATTTCATCCCCATCATACATTAACTTTCAAGATAAAGTATAGTGAGAATCCTCTCCACTCAGTGAGGAAAGGGAGGCACAAGAGACTTTACCTTGTGTCATAGATAACTGTTCCTATTTGCTGTGATAAGATGTCTTGACAAAAGCAACCTACAAAAGGAGTTTATTTCAGCTCACAGTTCTGACATAGTCCATCAAGCAGAAATCAAGGTGGAAGGAGTCTGAGAGAGCTGATTACATTGAGTACCAGTCAAGAAACAGTAATCAATATATTCAGCAATTTTCTCCTTTTCCATACAACTCAAGACCCAAACCCAAGGAATGGTGCCACCCACAGGGAGGGGGGAAGGATCTTCCCATCTCAATTAATCTAAATAAAATAATCCTCATAAGTATGTCCAGGCTGATTCTAGATTCTTTGAAGTTGACAGCTGAGATTAATAATCACCCTTGCTTACTTCAGAGTCCCAAGATTTACCTCACAATGTCTATTCTTCTAGTTCAACCCTAGTTGCTCTCATCCGTGTTGGATTGGCACTCCCCCCACCCCTACATTAGACTGTTGGCCTCAGGAGACATTTGTGGTTGTCACAGCTTGAATGAGGGATGCTGCTCCTGGCATCTAGTAGGAAGAGTCCAGAGATGATGCTAAGTGCCCTTCATATCACCAGACAGGCTGCTCCAGTAAAGGAATATTCAGACCATGATATCAACAATACTGCTGTTAATATACTCTTGATTGATCCAGGAGAGATGGATCAGTTGGTAAGAATGCTTGCTATGCAAGCATAAGGATTTGAATTCAGTTCTCCAGCACTCGTTAAAAAGCTGAATATGGCTGAGTATGCAAGCCTATAGCCCAAGTGCTTTGGGGGGAAGAGACAGGAGGATCACTGGGGCATAGTGGTCACCATTCTAGCTCCAGGTTCACTGAGATCCTTCACAAGGGAATAAGGCAGAGTATAGCAGAGCAGAACACAGTGTCCTCTTCAAGTCTCTGCAAGTGCACACAAAGGCACAAATATGTGCACTTATAACACACACAAGAAGTCCTGGTTCGTCTGCTTAGCTGGACTACCGTAATAGCTTGCTGCCCCACCAGAACTCTATGTCCATTCATAGAGTTCTATAGGCAATGCGTGAGTCAGTGATATGTAAGCTTATGGTTACATAATGTGGGTGGTACAGCTGTCTCAAAGAAGGGACAGCCAGTGCAAAAGTTGGTAAGTGGGAACATGGCTAACTTGGTAAGGGACAGCACAAGCCCTGGTTGTGCTTAGGAGACTGCCCCCATGAGAAGAAGCAATGTCCCCAAAGCAACAACCCCATGTTTGCTGCTGGGCAACATGCAAACTAATGACATCTGTCTCATGTCTACTTCCCCATCCCTCCTTCCCTGCTCCTCACTTTCTGGCTCTTTAGTGTTTGGTCACAACATGAAAAGCAGCAACGACTTCATCGGGAGAATTGTCATCGGCCAGTATTCCTCCGGCCCCTCTGAGTCCAACCACTGGAGACGGATGCTAAACACCCACCGCACTGCTGTGGAGCAGTGGCACAGCCTGAGGTCCCGGGCCGAGTGTGACCGTGTGTCTCCTGCCTCCCTGGAGGTGACCTGATTGCCATGGGGAAGACAGCCTTCATTTGTTAAAAGAGAGAGAGAGAAATGTGTCACATAAATATTCAACCCACACCTACATATACTTTCACACATGTGCACGTGCATACACAACGCCCTCTCAGCACTGAGAGCAAGCTGACAGTAGATCATGAAATAGCCACCCTCACTGAGGGAAGCTTGTGATGTTTCCGGAACCTCCATTCATAAACCACAAGCTGAGTGGGCTCTGCTGGGAGACTCATTGGCAGTGCCTGCTCTTAGCCATTCCCCTGTCCCAAAATGTACTATCAACCTCAGGCCAGAGAAAGGAGGCCTTCCTGCAGAGAGCCCGATTCGGTGTACTAGAGTTTGGCTGGTATGTCGGGGACTTGATCCCCACTTCAAAAAACATACTTGCCAGGAAACTTCTGAACAGGTCACTGTTTCCTGGGGTCTCCACACCTGATACCTTTCTCCAAAGGTGTAAGTATCTTTGTTTTCTCCTTAGTAAATGTGATAAATAGATTAGGCTCTTCGGAGACACCAAGGGTGACAGAAGACAGTGATTCAGGGTCAGGAACCCAGGCTCACCTGCTTTGTCCTTGTGTTAGCTTATTCCTGGGACTCCCTGTGGGTATGTGTGTGTTATTGTGTGTATGTCCTCACAAGTGTGCTCACTCATCCTGTTAGACAGACAGCAAGGTGGTGGCCAGAGCCTCCATCCTCAGAGTTCCCTTATCTCTGCCTTCCATCCGGTGCAATTTCACCCCATGTCCTCCCGTACATCAGTGACGCCACCTCCAGTAGCAATAGTTGGAATGTGTCCCATATAAATGGGGTTATGATATAGCAAAAAGTAACATTTTCTGACTGAGTCGTGGTGGTTCTGACACAACCAGGGGTCTGGCACATGAATGAAAATGGTGCCTCACCCCTCCACCATGACCTCTCCCCTTGATCATGTTCCAATGATCCGTCTGTGTTTGTGTGTGCACCACAGTCATGTCTCCTGTGCTAAGGCTTTAGTGTGGTTAGAATAGACCTTTCCCCCATGGGATGCTTCTGTGTCTTTCTCCACAGCGTATTGTCCTCTGTGATGGGGAATTACTTGTTGAAATTAAAGATTATTTATTTGTGCCATGCATTGGAGTTATCTGTTTTGTTCATGACATAGAAGATGAAAGGGTGTTGACTGCTAGTATATATAATGAGGCAATCCAGCCAGAGCCAAGAGGTGGCTCAGTGAGGCCTCAAGGCTGGTTCCCAAGCACCCACTTAAAAAGACAGGCGGGACACTTGGAGAAATACAACACACATGTCCAACTTACCCCAGATAAGGAGCCCACAACAGATACCACCAAAGTCCAAATTGGTTAACTAATGAGGTTTATTGGGGTTACTTACAGGAATTTGGGGAGGGGTTACTCACAGCACAGGACCAGAAACAACTCAAAGACAGCTGCATCACCAAAGCCCACCCCAGCATGGGTGACAGCTCTTGGAAGCTGGAGTGCACTGCACAGCCTGCAGGCAGCTCCACTGGCTTCTCCTTCTTCCAGGCAGCTGGCCTGGTCTTGGAGTCTTCTTTGCCCTTTGGTTTGTCTGAGAGATTCTCAGCTCTCTTTTTTGTTTACTCTTAGGAGTGAGGGACTTAGGGGATCTGGTCTGTTTCAGGACAGACTTCCCAGCAGGATGGAATATATCAAGGAGGAAATTGCTGCACCACTGTGTGTGTGTGTGTGTGTGTGTGTGTGTGTGTGTGTGTGTGTGTGTGTGTGTGTAAGTAACCATGTGACTCCCTGGGGCTCACTGGCCAACCAGTCTAGTCAATCAGTGAGTCATGAATCCAGTAAGAGACTGTTTCAAAACACAGTATGGAAGTGATGAGTATGATACTCATTGTTTACCTCTGGCCTCCACAAACATACCTACATACTAGCATATGCACAAAAATACATACACTGAGCATGCGTTCACACACATGCGTACACACACACACACACACACACACCTACTCAGAGCAGTGATGTCAATCTTGATAACTGTTACTTGGCAAGATTCTAGCTCAGACCCAACAGGGATGGCTTAGCTGTGCTCCCTGCACCTAGTACCTAAGCTAGAATACTTAAGGGCTAGGTAACGGAACCCCCTGAAGGCTTTTCCCACCAATGTTTGGTGCTTGGTCCTGGCTGACAGCTGAGGACTTACTTGTTCCCTATCCTTGGAGGTCTTAGCACAGGTTGCCTCCATAGGGTGCTGACTTGGGCTTCCTCACAGCATGGTAGCAGATGTGATGGTTTGAATATGAAGTGTTCCCACAGGCTAATGCATTGAATGCTTGGTCCAAAGCTAGTGGAGCCACACACTCCTGCCACTTTACTGTTCTACCCAAGGGCTGGGTCAAGCCAGCATAGACAGGATCCTCTGAAACTGTGAAATAAAATAGGTAATTCCTCCCTTCAGATGCAACAATGGGAAAAGTAATGGTACACAGGGAAAATGGCAGAAATGATTTTCTATGACTTCTGAGGACAGGGCATAAGAAGAACTCATGCATACTTTTAATCCAGCACTCAGGAGGCAGAGGCAGAGGCAGGCAGATTCAAGGCCAGCCTGGTCTACAGAGCAAGTTCCAGGACAGCCAAGACTATACAAGAAAACCCCTTCTCAAAACAAAAACAAAAAACATGGATTCTCTCTCCTCTCTCCCTCCCACTCCTTCCCTCCCTGGACTTCCCTCTCACTCCCTGCCCCCTGCTTTTCCTTAAGAACTTCTGTGTCATATACCTTTCTCATCATTGTAACCAAAATGATGATTTTGGCCACAGATCAAGGTTCCAGCCCATCATGGTAAAGAAATCAAGGCAGCAGAAGTCCACAGCATCACATGGCACCAATAGTTGGGAAGCAGAGAGCAAGCATGCATGCTAATGCTCTGCTAACTTTCTCTATTTTATGCAGTCTGGGACCCAAACCCAGGAAATGGTGCCACTCACTATGGGAAGAACCTCTCACCTCAATTAACCTAATCAAGGTAATCCCTCACAGGCATGCCCAATCCCAGGGCTCCTATCCCAGGAGAGTATAGATCTCAAGCAGTTGACAACCCAGGCTAACCATCATGCCTTGATTTGAATAGTAGCAAACACATGCTCTGATTGAGGGGAGGGGACATGAGGAAATATCAAGAAAAAAGCAGTTAGATTGTATGAAGAGCTTGCAAGGTATGTGCAGTGCAGCCATCTTTGGAAAACACAGTCCTTACAATGGGCAATCAGACTGCACAAGGTCATGCTGAACCTCACTGGTATAGGGTGTGGTCCAGGGGGAGAAGAATGGGTGAAATGGATATACCAATTTGAGAACCAAGAGGTGGACCCACATGAAAAGGGAATGGTGTTTATGTTAGATGCCTTTGGTTGTCAGCAACAGAAGTTACAGCTTTAGACATAGCTGGATCTAGGGCTTCAACTGGGACTCATCAGGGCTTCACTTCTCACTTCATCTCTTGGCTAGTCTCTCTCTTGCTTCATAAGCATCTTGGCAACTACTAATAGTTCCGACTCATCCTTCGCATTGAACCCACAGTCTCGTGCACACCAGGCAACAACCTGTGTTCTAAGGCCTGTCTTAAGTTTCTACTTCCTGATTTTCCAAGGATGAAATAACACTTACTTCCTGCTGTGCCCTGTGATAAACCCAGGAGTTATTTAGTTCTCACAGCAACCTTTTGAAATAGGATCTGTTATGATCCCTCCCCCCCCCCACACACACACCCCTTTTAGATGTGGAAACAACACTCTGGGCATCAAGTGTCACTCAACATGTCACAGAGGATTATGAAGTGTGTGATCTACCTCATCTACTATAGTCAGTTATTCAACATTTGTTCTCCATGAAACTTTGCCTTTGTCCCAGACCAGAGTCACAGCTTTGCTTTTTATTAGCCATGCCCTGCTGAGGACTTAGCCAGGTAAATACTATACAGACTGAAAAGTGCCTTGACTCTCCAGGCCACAAAAGTATTTGTCTGAGTTTCTCTTCTGTTGCTTTGATAAAATACCCTGGTAAAACACCATAATAGAGAAAGGGGCTTTTTTGTCTTGTAGTTAAGGGAGAGCTGGGGTGGAGAAATCAAAGGAGTTTGAAGGGGTTGATCACATCACATCCACAGTTAAGAAGCAGAGAGCAATGCATGCCTGCCAATGCTCAGTCACTCTCTATACTGTCCAAAATGTCCTGACCTTGGGAATGGTCCAGGCCACATTTAAGAAGGGTTTCCCACATCAGTGTAATTAAGATAATCTCCCACTGGTGTGCCCAAAAGCCCATCTTCCAGGTGATTCTAGATTCTGTCAAGTTGACAACTAAACGCTAACCATTACAAGGATGGAGGAATCTGTGATGATATGCTATTGGTGTTACTGTTTCTGACATTTTATAGTACAAGTCACAGGGTTGAGGCAGGAAGGCTAGCTTGACTGAGTTCTCAGAGAGAAAAAAAGAGACAATATTTTTCCTTTTCTACAAAACACCTTCCTTCCTGGGGCTAAACAGAAAAGAACAAAAGCAAAAATGGCAAACATGAGAGAGACAAGTGGATAACCAGCATGGTAGCCAGAGACATGATAGAAAATTGTTGTGGGAATTCATTCAGGCAATAACTTGGGGTACCAGCCCTTAGGGTATGGTCTGAGGTGCTATGTGAGGATTAATAAGCTTGCTCTTTTGGGTGGTGATTGGAGATCTGATGGCAGCTTCCAGTGCCCTAGGGCAGAAGATCTGGGTGACTCTCTACCTTACTGTCATTCGTGAGTGTTCCCCAAATAAGTATTTAACATCCCTTTATTTCAGGCTCTCATGGACTCTCTTACCATTCATTCACAAATAATGATCAGGCTCCTGGGCTTTAGAACCAAAGAAAGGACAGCCCAAATCCTGGGTCCACCGTCAGACATAAACCAGGCAACTCCTCCATGCTCTGTTTTCCTGCTATCTTAGGGCCCCTCAAAGGCAGATTTAAGGAGGCAACTTGGAAGCGAATAATTTGCTG